GAAGCAAAGTAACGTAGCCCAAAGCAAAGCAGAGGCAAAGTAACCTAGCTCAAAGCAAAGCAGAAGCAAAGTAACCTAGCCCAAAGCAAAGCAGAAGCAAAGTAACCTAGCTCATAGCAAAGTAGAAGCAAAGTTACTTAGCGCAAAGCAATTCAGAAGCAAAGTAACCTAGCCCAAAGTAAAGCAGAAGCAAAGTAACGTAGCCCAAAGCAAAGCAGAAGCAAAGTAACCTAGCCCAAAGCAAAGCAGATGCAGAATAACCTAGCCCAAAGCAAAGCAGAAGCAAAGTAACCTAGCCCAAATCAAAGCAGAAGCAAAGTAACCTAACTCATAGCGAAGTAGAAGCAAAGTTACCTAGCGCAAAGCAAAGCAGAAGCAAAGTAACCTAGCCCAAAGCAAAGCAAAAGCAAAGTAACCTAGCCCAAAGCAAAGGAGAAGCAAGTGACCTAGGTCCTAAGCAAAGCTGAAGCAAAGTAACATAGCCCAAAGCAAAGCAGAAGCAAAGTAACGTAGCTCAAAGCAAAGGAGAAGCAAAGTAACGTAGTCCAAAGAAAAGTAGAAGCAAAGTAACCTAGCCAAAGCAAAGCAGAAGCAAAGTAACCTAGTCCAAAGCAAAGAAGAAGCAATGTAACGTAGCCCAAAGCAAAGCAAGAGCAAAGTAACGTGGCCCAAAGCAAAGCAGAAGCAAAGTAACCTAGGCCAAAGCAAAGCAGAAGCAAAGTAACGTATCTCAAAGCAAAGCAGAAGCAAAGTAACCTAGGCCAAAGCAAAGCAGAAGCAAAGTAACGTAGCCTAAAGCAAAGCAGAAGCAAAGTAACGTAGCTCAAAGCAAAGCAGAAGTAAAGTTTCCTAGCCCAAAGCAAAGCAAAAGCAAAGTAACCTAGCTTAAAGTAAAGCAGAAGCAAAGTAACCTAGCTCAAAGCAAAGCAAAAGCAAAGTAACCTAGCCCATACCAAAGGAGAAGCAAAGTAACGTAGTCCAAAGAAAAGCAGAAGCATAGTAACCTAGCCCAAAGCAAAGTAGAAGCAAAGTTACCTAGCGCAAAGCAATGCAGAAGCAAAGTAACCTAGCCCAAAGCAAAGCAGAAGCAAAGTAACGTAGCCTAAAGCAAAGCAGAAGCAAAGTAACCTAGCCCAAAGCAAAGCAGAAGTAACGTAACCTAGCCCAAAGCAAAGCAGAAGCAAAGTTACGTAGCCCAAAGCAAAGCAGAAGCAAAGAAACCTAGTCCAAAGCAAAGTAGAAGCAAAGTAACCTAGCCCAAAGCAAAGCAGATGCAAAGTAACCTAGCCCAAAGCAAAGCAGAAGCAAAGTAACCTAGCCCAAAGCAAAGTAGAAGCAAAGTATCGTAGCCCAAAGCAAAGCAGAAGCAAAGTAACCTAGCTCATAGCAAAGTAGAAGCAAAGTTACCTAGCGCAAAGCAAAGCAGAAGCAAAGTAACATAGCCCAAAGCAAAGCAGAAGCAAAGTAACGTAGCCTAAAGCAAAGCAAAAGCAAAGTAACGTAGCTCAAAGCAAAGCAGAAGAAGAGTTACCTAGCCCAAAGCAAAGCAGAAGCAAAGTAATCTAGCTCAAAGCAAAGCAGAAGCAAAGTAACGTAGCTTAAAGCAAAGCAAAAGCAAAGTAACCTAGCCCATACAAAAGGAGAAGCAAAGTAACTTAGTCCAAAGAAAAGCAGAAGCATAGTAACCTAGCCCAAAGGAAAGGAGAAGCAAAGTAACGTAGCCCGAAGCAAAGCAGAATCAAAGTAACGTAGTCCAAAGAAAAACAGAAGCAAAGTAACCTAGTCCAAAGCACAGCAGAAGCAAAGTAATGTAGCCCAAAGCAAAGCAGAAGCAAAGTGACCTAGTCCTAAGCAAAGCTGAAGCAAAGTAACATAGCCCAAAGCAAAGCAGAAGCAAAGTAACGTAGCTCAAAGCAAAGGAGAAGCAAAGTAACGTAGTCCAAAGAAAAGTAGAAGCAAAGTAACCTAGCCAAAGCAAAGCAGAAGCAAAGTAACCTAGTCCAAAGCAAAGAAGAAGCAATGTAACGTAGCCCAAAGCAAAGCAAGAGCAAAGTAACGTGGCCCAAAGCAAAGCAGAAGCAAAGTAACCTAGGCCAAAGCAAAGCAGAAGCAAAGTAACGTATCTCAAAGCAAAGCAGAAGCAAAGTAACCTAGGCCAAAGCAAAGCAGAAGCAAAGTAACGTAGCCTAAAGCAAAGCAGAAGCAAAGTAACGTAGCTCAAAGCAAAGCAGAAGTAAAGTTTCCTAGCCCAAAGCAAAGCAAAAGCAAAGTAACCTAGCTTAAAGTAAAGCAGAAGCAAAGTAACCTAGCTCAAAGCAAAGCAAAAGCAAAGTAACCTAGCCCATACCAAAGGAGAAGCAAAGTAACGTAGTCCAAAGAAAAGCAGAAGCATAGTAACCTAGCCCAAAGCAAAGTAGAAGCAAAGTTACCTAGCGCAAAGCAATGCAGAAGCAAAGTAACCTAGCCCAAAGCAAAGCAGAAGCAAAGTAAAGTAGCCCAAAGCAAAGCAGAAGCAAAGTAACCTAGCCCAAAGCAAAGCAGAAGCACAGTTACGTAGCCCAAAGCAAAGCAGAAGCAAAGTAACCTAGCCCAAAGCAAAGCAGAAGCAAAGTAACGTAGCCCAAAGCAAAGCAAAAGCAAAGTAACCTAGCTCATAGCAAAGTAGAAGCAAAGTTACCTAGCGCAAAGCAATGCAGAAGCAAAGTAACCTAGCCCAAAGCAAAGCAGAAGCAAAGTAACGTAGCCCAAAGCAAAGCAGGAGCAAAGTAACCTAGCCCAAAGCATAGCAGATGCAAAATAACCTAGCCCAAAGCAAAGCAGAAGCAAAGTAACCTAGCCCAAAGCAAAGCAGAAGCAAAGTAACCTAGCTCATAGCAAAGTAGAAGCAAAGTTACCTAGCGCAAAGCAAAGCAGAAGCAAAGTAACCTAGCCCAAAGCAAAGCAGAAGCAAAGTAACCTAGCCCAAAGCAAAGCAGAAGCAAAGTAACCTAGCCCAAAGCATAAGCTGAAGAAGCGCTGGTGGAGCAAAAGCCATTGATATTATTCCATGCGCAGGCTCATCCATGCCTGTCTGTCTGTCTGTCTGCCAGTGACCAGGTGGGTGATTGCTCGTGGCTGCTGGATTTCTCTGCCGTGGTCGCCTTCCTCTTCACACACACACACACACCCCCCTCTCCCTGAAGCTCCTTTGCTGTGCGCTACTCCACTAGACTGGAGGTTTTATCTGTGGTTTTAGTGGGGTTTGCATTTTTTTGTTTGTGTGGAAGAAGACTCGATTGGAGGAGGCAGGTTGATGTGAGAATTCCGCGTCGGAAGAGGTCGTTTCGTCAGGAAAATTTTGACTTGCGAAGAGCAAGGATTCAAAGAGTTTAAAGTTTTTTTTTTTTTTTTTTTTTTTTTTTTTTTTTGAAGCCACATAGTTTTTTTGTTTTGCGGAGGTGCTTTGACTTTGGTTGAGTCGGAATGGTGAGTAGTTTTTGTGGTTGTGGATTGAATGGTTCTGTGGCTGTAGAAAGATTATAGGCTTGCTAGATATTTCGCTTTTGCTTGATTGTTTGTTTGTTTGGTTTATTGTTTTTTTTTGTTTTGCCCTCGTTTTTGACGAGATAGAGCTTTATGGGATAATCGTTTGATCAATCAGTGTTCTTGTAAGTTAGGCGGCTAGACTATGTGACGCAGGAGGCTCGCTTGAATGGACGTGCATCATGAGTTTGAGAGTAGACTTTTCTTAATATCCTTTTCATTCTGAATTCTTACAGGAGAAATTTTGCAGTGATCGCATTGTCAACTGAAGTTCATCGTAGAGCCTTCTGTCTGCTACAATTCACTCAACTCTGTGGAGAATGCCTCTGCAGCACCTTGGGTTGGAATGTTTACAATATGAGCACATCTTCATGACTTAGGCGTTAATCTTGAGAAGACGATTATCTCATCACTGGTTTGTGATTCCTTGTCTAGTCCTCGGCCTGAAAAAGGAGCGTGTCGGAGTCGAGCAATCGAGGCTAATTGAAGGTAATTGAGGATTTCGGACTGCCGTTCACCTTGAGGGGTTTAGAGGCCGGAGCGTGCCTCAGCGCCATCTCCTTCTTGCTGGGGCTAGGAGCAGTGACATGGCTACCCGACGAGGTGCACATGTGGAAGAGCTTCCCTATTCCCCGCATGCTGGCCATACTCATCATCCCCATCGTCTCCTTCTCCTTCTCACTCTTCCTGTCGTTCATTACCTCCTGTGACCCCCGCCTTGCTTCTCAATCCACCACGTCCAGCGCCGCTATAGCCGCAGTCATTGCCCTCCCTTGCCTCTTCGCCGTGCCTCTGGAGATTTTCGTCATCTGGGCAGCTTCTACTGGCCATATCAGCACCATCCCTTTCGTGCTCCTCGCATCCCTACTCGACTTTGCACTGGCTGCCATCTTCAAGCACGTCGAGCCCAATTACGTGGTCGGCATTCGCTCGCTGTGGACCCTCAGGAACAGCGAAGTGTGGCATGACACACATTTCTTCGCATGTTGCATCTTTGCTGTGTTCGGTGTGGTTGGTGTAGTCCTTGTTTTCTTTGTACCCCCGGGATTATGGCAACTCCTGGTGATAGGTGGCTTGTTTTTTGCACCGCCTGCACTGTCGGTGTTGTACTCTTATCTCATCCGAGAAGAGGCTCAGTACATTGTAAGATGATGACTATTAGTAGATCAAGCAGATTTAGTATGGTAACATTCTCACATCGTTCAATACATAGGATCTCTTAAGCTTTGTAATAGTTTTGGAACAAGCGGAAGGGTTTGAATTTAGAATTGCTGCATAAGAAGCTTTGTAGAAATTTTCAGACTCGAGTCAACAGGTAGAGTGTCTGCGTGTTGCATTTGTGCCTGGCAGAAGCACGAATGCGCAATCTTCTCATTCAACTATCTACTATGTAGACTTCAGTGCAGGTAGCAGCAGTCCATTAATTGAGAGAAGCTCCAAGCATGAGATATGGTTCTGATTAGAACGCAGAATGCATGAAACTGTAAAATTGCGTGGATTAAAGAAATTTCCACATGCCATTATCGGAAATATGGGAGATATTTATGCAAATATCTAGGGGCTCTGTTGTTACAAAATGTTGAAGCTCTGGACGCGATGTTCAAGCGTCGCATACAGCATGTATTAAACTTTCACGGTAGGTCCCTTCCACCTGAGGAAGAGACACAGTTGTAGAGACACAATTACTTAGTGACCGGTGTGCTTGTAGTGGTTGAGCATTTGGCTATGCTCCTACGACTCAGAAGGGTAGGTAAGGATTTGCTGGAGGATCCCGCTCCAGCCCCTGCCTCCCACTGAGCGAGTTTGCTCATTACAGTGGATGTCGATGTCCTTGCAAATCTGCTCACTGGTGCGAGATCTGGTCCTTCAAAGACCACGGATTCTGTGGGATATTCAGGGGTTGCGAACGTAACCCCTGAAGCATAGGTACGACAGCTAAAAGAATGACTCGTGGCCATCCCTTCTTGAAACCCAGAGCTCCGTCCGGTTGGACTCCCATGATGCGCCATAACCGAGGCAGTCGGTGGCGACTCACTGTGGCTCTGTTGCTGCAGAAGCTCGGATTGATGCAACTGGGATGACTCCAGCAGGTTCTTCGAGACGTTCCGTGTTGCAGGTCTTGGGGATGGAGAATTGCACCTCGCTGGAGACGAAACTAAAGGGGGATGCGAGATTGCACTTGGAGTTTCGTACTCTGATGAATCCGTGCTAATGCTATCAGACAACCAGTCAGATTCGTCCTTGTTGTCATCGCCACTAGCAGCATGAGCTTTTGAAAGAGCTGGCCATAGAGGCGAAGAAATTAGGACTTCTTTCCAGATATTCGTTGAAATTGGCGCCCTCATCTCTCTTATTCTGATCCTGCCCGATCCAGTCCCTTGCTGTAAGCCTTGCTTCTGCATCGGATGCAGGTGACTTGAAATTGCTGTTGTGGCATGTCGTTTCTCCCACTCCGATCGCTCTTCTAAAGAATGATCTATCATATGAGATTGTTCCGCATTTGACTGGCATCTTATAGACCCTAAAGCATTGCCCGGTTCCGATACAGCTACCGGTGCTACTTTATACGTGTGAATAGGTGCGCTTAAAGAATCAGGTCGTCTTCTTACGACTTCGTGTTCAGGTGACGAAGAAGAGCTGCTTCCTGTCGAGTAATTCCGGACTAGGGAGCTGTAACTGCTTCGGCGCTCGTATTCCTCCCTAGCATCCTCAAAAATATCCTTCACGAAGTCAGAATTTCCAGATTCCTGCCCGTGAGATTCCACCAAAGTCGAAAAAGACTCCTGATGTAGCTGACCTTGGGTCCCGCACGATTTCCATGAAAAAGAAGCATTGCAAGGTCCTCTTGTCCGCATCACTCTCCTGCCTGGAGATGCTTTAGAGATTAACGTGTGCTCATTAGCGACGTCCTTATGATCTGGGACGATTTTCCTATTACATGTCTCTGCATAATCCTCAGATTGATGTCTACTGGATGGTGCAAGCTTTCCACTCCTGGAATTTTCGAACGGTTGGCCATCTTTGCCGAGCTCCTTCTGTAAACTCTCCGATCTATTTTTTCGATCAGCAACAGGTAGCGTTGGCAAATGTACCTCTGCGATTATGGGTGCAGGATATTTGATTTTTTCACGAATTAAAATAGTTTCTGATGCTTGATCCATCACAATTTCAGAAACGTCGGGCACTGTTAGTGGAGTGGCGACTATTGATTCAGAAGAGGTGCTCAATCCTCTTCGGCTTGTGGATTGCGAGAGTCTATTTTCATCACTGCATTTGTTTTCGGTTCCATGGACTGCAGCAGCATGTACCTCATCAGCCTCAGAACAGAGAGACATCAACATGGTCGCCATAAATCGGCTACTCGCGACGACCTGTGATTGCTTCGGCGCCACAACTGACGAATTTTGTACGTGGCGATGGTCATGACAAGGTGAAGACCGAAGAGAACATACTAGGGTTGAAGAATCGGCTGCAGTGACATATTCTTCGTCTGCAGAGTCCAATCTCCTCCCCCTGTTGGGATCATCGTGTGAAGGATGTCCTTTCTTTTGATTCTCACTCCCCAGCTTCGATGGTAAGCATCGTCGCAAGGAAGATTGTTTCTTCTGGAACTCTACTAGCATTCTCCTTGTGATTCTGGAGACAATCTTGTTGCCGGACAAAGGATTAAAAATGCTCGCACATGAGTGCACCCCCTCCTTACGAATCCAAGGCGGCTTGAAGCTTTTCAATGGAGTACTCGTCTTCGAAGAGCACTCAGGCACCTTAAGGCTGAACCATTCTCGAGCCCGGGACACAATGCCTCTCACCTTGACGTGCTCTTCGTTCTGCAGCTTCGGATATTCCATAGGCCTGGAGTATGGCAGATAAAATCCATCCTTAGGCCTTTGTCCAGGAGGAAGCTGCAACGACGGCGGCTCGATATCCCTCTTAGCAAAAGCGTCTCCATCACATGCAGACTTCTTCATGCTTTGCTTCGCAGGTCTCCCTGGCGCAGATTCCCAATCGAAGGGTACCATAGCAGGGAGAAAATCTGCCTCCGTGGATGCGGTAGATACCCTCGCCATCAACTGTGGTGTCAATGTGCGCCTTCTTTACCCTTTCTGGTGCTTGAAAGACATCATTCTCACATGTAAAATAATTCGGTGACTGCAAGTATCTGGCAAATTGTAATAATCATGAATAGTTGCTCCTCGCGAAATAGCTGATGTGACACACGACGGGGCTCTCATATGCATTTATATATATATATATATATATATATATGTTCTTGCGAGTAGAGAAGAGTACTGCTCAAGGAGTTGGTGGCTTGATCGTGGGATAAATCCTGCTGTGAGATTCTGTCATGGGTGTTGTGAGCATTATGTAGAGGCGTCTGTCTCAATTGTTTAAAAACAGTGAAAAATTTAAGAAACGATTACCTGATTCAATCCTATTGGCTTCTGTCTGGAATGACGAATGATGCTGCATGCTTTGGGGTTGGATTTTTTTTTTTTTTTTTTTTTTTTTTTTTTTGATATTACCACTTGGGCGCGCCGAAGAGCAATTCACCACAAATTAAAATCACATCAAGGTCAGTTGCAATCACGAAAGTCCATGCCAATAGACGCTTTCTTTCACATCCTGTCTAACCAGGCCTAAATGGCGAAATCATGCAAGCTAGAATTGCGAATAGGAAACATTTCAAGTACACTAGTTCCACAATAGATACTCTGATAGCCATTAGCACAGATAATCAATTCTGACACTCTTAATTTAGCAGATTGACAGTTGAGACCTAAACGAAAAGCATTCAGACACGAGCCAGGTGCATTGGAGAGCTTGAAAAGTATCATCGAACGAAGAGCTATGTGCAAGCTTAAACAAGAGCCCACCTGTGTCGCAATGCAGAAGATAAATTGCGTCTGTGCGCCAATAGAACTCATGACTCTATCAAACACCACACCCGAGTAAGCCAGCCCTCACAACCTCCTTTCGTGACGCCGCGGACAAACTCAACCCCACTCAGTAATCTGTCTCAAAGTCATCTTGCACAGATTGTGTTCAGTGGAAGCGTTTCTGCACTGGGGCTACCCAATTCAATTCCAAACTAAATTTTGAAGAGCGACTTCGAGAGCGGGTACTTTAATGCTGATGTAGTGGTCCGAGAAGGTGGCTACCCATGGCCCAATTTCCCACCTTGCTACGGCTGTTGCAGTGTGGGGCATCCCACAAGAACATGACATAACTGCGGAGTGTGGGGACATGCTCTCTCACAGAAAAAAGAAATGCTTTGGACGGGTGGAGAATCTACTATGGATTTTCTGTTACTCTACAATGACAAACAGCGAAACAGGGGACCAACGAAACTAATCACGGAGACTTCGTCACCAGTGTGTGTCGACCGACCCTGATTCAGATTCTAATAGAGATTGCGCCACAATCTGATCACAACAGTCCATCAACACACATCAAGAGGTGCTGAATCCCTTGAGAGTCATGAGCATTGCTCTAAATATGTCGACTACTGATGCTGCAGTCAATCTGTTCCTCAGGAACACATCCCGAACTCTTCCACACGGTCCTCTATCACTTTATGACCAGTCAACAGTGAATATCCCTTCGTATTCCACTTCGACTGATTTAAGGCAGATTGGTATTCGGACTTACCCCGAATCTCTCAACTTCAGCAGTTTTCAGGACCGTACCATGACAATTGAATTGTACTTTGTTCACACTACTCTTGTAACTTACACAGATTTGAGAGTGAAAAACATGAAAGAGATCGAAGATGAGTCATTACCATGGACACCCTCCATGACGATGACGTTGCTTTTTCATCTCATAGAGTAGCCTTGAAGGTTGAGGACCACAATAATATATATATATATATATAAACTTTCTTGTGAAGCAAGCATGGTATGTAGATGAATGCAACGTCTGCCGAACCTTCGCCGTCACCAACGGTTTTTGTGAGCTCTCCCTTGCACGCTTCCCTCAAGCTCCATGATCTCTGCAAATTGGGTTGTGTTTATTTTATTTTATTTTTAATTAATTAATTAGTTAATAAATTAATTTTGTTTTCTATTTGTAGAAAACGACTCGTACACACGAAAAATTGGGTTGCGAATGCTGTCTTGACTTTTCATCTTGTCCTATCGTTGAGATTTCATACTCAGCTCTAAAGAAATGGTTCAGCAAAAACATCTACAATTGAGGATTGCTTTTAATTTTAATTTTTCAATATTTATGACATCAAAACAGTAGAAAGTATTTCGAAGCAATGTTCATTACTTGTATAGTGTCGGTAGAATAAAATGTAATAGAGAATAAATGTTATAGAGGATTACTTATATTATGGAAATAGATCTATAATTTATAACCATCTATTTATATAATTTATAACTTATAACCATCTATCTAAAAAATGAAGATTAAAAATGAAGATTAAATAATTATTTATTTTCCTTTTCTATTTCTATTCCTATGTATGTATGTATATATATGTATATATATATATATATATATATATATATACACACACACTTCATAGCTAACTAAATAATTGTCATAATTGTCAAAATCATTTAGTTATTAAATCATTTATTACTATTAAAAAAATTAGTTGAAAAAATTTTAAAATAAATTATTTAGGCTTATATATATATATATATAATTTATTTATTTATTTATTTTGTTACAATCTTCAAATAGGTGTTTGACATATTCACAAAAAATGAGATAAGAAGTGAATAAATATTATTAGTTCCATTAACATCACATTGAAAAAAAGAAAAAGATTTTTTTTTTTTATGTTTTATTCTTATGATGAATTATTTTTTAAAATTTATTTGATATACATGCATACTTACATACATATATACAATATAAATAATGAGACTTTTCAAGCAATTGCTCCTGGAGATCTATGTCTTTGGACAACAAAATTTGCACATGTTCCTTCTGTCCTTAGTATTCTTAGTGTTCCAAAGACTCTCTTAAGAATTCATGCATAATGTGAACATCCACAACCTGCAATAATTTGGTGTTAAGAGTTTGAAAATCCAACAAAGAGCCAAAATCATTTGTTATCAATGCCACTTTACAGAAACAATGATTTTGTAAGTGCTTCTTGTCTTGTGAGCACTAAGAATACTCAGGACATTTGAAACATTGGGAACACTAGAAACACCAAGAATACATAGAACATTAGAAACACTGATTTTATACCATGTTAATTACAAATTTTAAATGGTACTAAAAACCTTAACAAATCAATGTTTTTGTGGGCAAACAAATACCAATTTTTTAATATATAAAGTAGATACATATTTTATTTATTTTAAAAAGAAAATCTAAACACCAAAAAATCAATAGAACTTGCAATATAGCTTGTATCAAAATCTCTTGAGATTTTACTAAAGTAAAACTTAACTTAATTCTAACTTAAAAAGTTTTTCTAATCATCTTAGATAAACTAGATCTTGCTATAGCAAATTGTAACAAATTTAAAAAACTGAATGAGGTTAGATCTTTTGAATTTGCAATAAATTTTTTAAATTTTTTATGCAACAGTCTAGAATCCTCTTAAAGACTTTGTTTAATGAAATTTAGAAGCTTTTAGAAACTATCTTGCTAAATACAAGGATAGAAGATAAAAATAATTTCTTTCACTAATGAATTAAAGAAATTAATTTCTTTAAAAATAAGAATCATATAAGTTCAAAATTAATTTCTTTAAAAATTATTTATTATTTTTTCAAAATAAAATATGCTACTATATCAAATTATTAGATTCTTAAATCTATTTATATTATTATTAATTTACAAATATACCTAAAAACTAAATATACTTAAATTAAAAAATAATTAAAATTTAAAAGTAGGTATTTTATTTATTTATAAATTTTCTTTAAATTTATTCAAAAAATTTAGTATAAAAAAATGTTATTATTTTTTTAAATGAGTAGAATTTAATAAGCTTTAAATGTATGTCTAATCAAACGTAATACTATCCAAAAATAATAAATTAAGTTAAGTGAGTTAAAAAATAAATAAAATATTTTAAAACTATTTTTGATTTCAAATTAAGAAGACTAAAATTCCAAATGTCTTAAAAATAGATATTATAAAAAATCCTCAGATAAAAACATATACACAAAGTATTTTTTAAGTATTCTTTCTTATTAAAATTTTAAAATACTAATAATAAAATTTAAAATTATAAATAGCTTATTTTAATAATTTTATAAAATTTTACAAAAATATTTATTATAAGATTTTTATATCCTATTTAGATGTTTATTTTAATAATTAAATATTTTTTAATCTTTTCTTGCTTGAATTTAAATAATATATCAAGAATATGTAGTACTATTTTAATAAATATATTAAAATATTAGTTTAATAGAACAAAAAATCATAAATAATAAATAATAAATTTATATTCAATTATGAATAGGATTAAATATTTATACATTTAAATAATATAAAATAGTTATTTACAATTATTTTTCATAATATAATCTTTTGTGTGTTGGTATTTATCTAATATCTTTTTTTTTCTAAATTCTTTGTGTTAATTTTAATTATAATAAAGAAATAAAGAAATAAAATATTTTTACTATATTTTTTTAATTATTTTATAAATAAAAAAAATTAATTAAATTAATTAAATATTTTATTTTATCAAATTTTTCAATTTAGAAGGTTGATAGAAATATTTTATAAATATTTTTTAATTCTTACTTATTACAAATTCTTCAATATAATAAAATGAAAATATTAATAAAGTTATTGATTTTCAAAAATCCACATTTAAAGATGTTTTGTAAATAGATGTTTATAGCGATCTATTTTTTAAAATATTTTTTTTAATAAAAAGAATAAATTCTATAAGAATATAATTAATAATAATAATAAAAAAGTTCACTATAATTTCTTTTAGCCATTCCTAAACTAAGTTTTACAGATAAATATCCTCTTGTGATGATCATCTACTAAATTGGATTTGGACAAAAGATTTTGTCCTTGCACATTATTTACTTAATATTTTTAAAAATATTTGTGGCACTCACATATATATTTATTCATATTAGAAGAGTTAGGTATAAATAAGTAGAAGTAAGTAAATTTAATATTATTTTATAAAAAACTTCTTTAAAGCTTAATAGATGCAGATTTAAATTTATACGTATTTGTAGGTGATTGGTAGATTAATAAGTTGGCCATGTGAGGCACATATAAGAAACTTCCATGCATGTTGGACATGTAGTAGAGGTTCTATAAAATATTTTCATGTAGCTCCTAATTAGATAGTTTATATACATAGAAGAGTAAGGCCTTTTTTACTCTTATCAACTCTTTATTTGCTTCTAGTTTAGTTTTAAGAGTCTTTACTTTTTTACTTTTTGGCAATAGACAATTTTATTTTTTTAATATATATTATTATTATTATTATTATTATTATTTTCTTTAAAAAATATTTTACTTCTTTATTTATATTATTTGAATTCTTATTTTTTATAAATTTATAAAAATATACTTATAATATTAGAGTATTGTCTTTTCTTGATTAAAAATATATTACTTCTTTCACTTACAAGATATAAGTATATTAAAATTTTTGGATTATCCTCTTCTTATCTAATATTGTTCTTAAGATTTTCTTTGTTCACAAGTCATATTTGCTATTTTTCTTGAGTGATATTAGATATTTTTATTTTTATTTTTATTGTATTATCATGGCAGACATGTTAAAATAAAGAATGCAATGGTACAAATCCAAGTAGAAATAATAGAGTTAATGCTTGCAATGCATTAATTCAATTCACCACCATAAGAAAAACAACAAGATTGGTTAAAAATAAAGATATAGAGATGATTAGAGTTGCTTCAATATCTATACCAAACCATATTATTTTTTTTATATTAGAACATCATTCAAGCATTAAAAAACCAATAATTGCCTTGCCAAAGAAGTTTTATGATAAAAGATCAAACTTTCACGGATTTATTAATGAAGTACAATTAGTGATTGAGCTTTAACCTCAAAGTCATCTAATACCAAGATTACAAGTTTAATTTTTTAAAACACTATTTTAAAGTTTTATCTCATCATAATTTTTATCTTTCTTTGAACAATATGATCCAATATTAGATAATTTGGATAATTTTTTGGCAAATTTTTGATCCATGTATAAAAAAATATGATGCAATTTATGTCGCAACTAATAAGATTTATAATTTGTATCAAAAAAATTATAAATATTAAATGGGATGATATTACACTTATTAATTAATTTTTCTATGAATTATAATATGAATTAAAGAAATTAATTTTGAACTTATATGATTCTTAAACATTAAGTTAAGCAATTGACTTTACTATGGATTGTTATAATTGGCTTTTAAAATTCCAATCTAAAAATAGCTAAATTAGGTCTCAATATTTTTATAATTTAATAGAAATATCAATATATTTTCAATACATTCATTCAAAAGTAGAAGACATGGAAATTAAAATGGTATGTTTTAAATTCATCTTTAAGTAAGAAACAACTTGTTGTATTTTTAAAAAAGATTATATTTATATTATAGAGAATATAAACATATTACACAATATTATTCAAGAAACAATGCAACTACAAAATAAGAAGTATGGTTGTCAAAAAAGACAATGTGTTAAAAAATAAGATTTATTGGCTACAACAAGAACTATTATTGTAATACTGTCACGGACATACTCATGTA